CCCCACCCCACCTCTGACTCACACCCCCTCTGTCCAGAGAAGCTGGTGGTGGCCCTGGCGAGGGTTTGGAGGAGGCGGGAGGGTAAGAGCCCCGTGAGGACGCACTGTGGGGGGCACCCCATAGCCACACCACCGCCCGAGTGTGTGAGGCATGGCGGCTGCCCTCCCACGGTGCTCACCTGGGCCTTGGCGGGCTCTGTCCTGGGCACACGCATAACAACAGCTCATTCGTGGTTGTCGCCTCACCCACTTGCTCATTCACGGCTCATTCACTGGGGAGCACACCGGTGCTGCGCCCCAGCCCAGGGCAGCGGCAGATCCAGCGCTGAGACCCCCCCACCCCCGGCTGCCCTTACCTGCTCCACGTTGAACGCTGTGTCTGCGTCTGGTGCGTAGGCGCCCGTGGGACACGGACGCACGGGACTCGCCACCTTCCTCGTGTCTGCCTCCACGTTTGCGTCCCGTGGCTGCCCTGCGATGACACCGGGTCCCCAGATAGGTGCCGCTGTCCCTGTTCTGTAGACTGTGGCGTTCATGCACCCAAGGTCACGAAGCTAGTGGGGGTCGTGAGGGTGCGGGGGGCCGGACTCAGACTCAGGGCATCTGCCTAAAGCACGGCGCTCCCCTCATCGCCTCTAACAGAGCGGGGTGGGGGCGTCCGGGCCTCGCCATCAGAGGGCTCCGGTCTCTGCCCGGCCCCGAGCCGGCCGTGCCACCTCCCCTGGCAGTGCCCGGGTGTCATGCAGGCAGGACCGGGAGGCCTGTGGGGGCAAAAAGACAACAGCCGCTCACGCACTCACTGACATTCCCGGGACCCCTTGTAAGGGCCAGGCGTACGCCACACCCGGCACAGCCGCGGGCGAAACCGCGCGGAGCTTCACCGGGAGACCCTGGAAGTGAGCGTCCTGGGCTGTCCAGGCCCGGTCACCTCTGTCCCTCCCAGACGCGCCTCTCAGCGCAGAGACGGTAGCACCCGGCGCCCACTGTGCAGGAGGTCCCGGCCGCTCAGGTCACGCGTGTCCGGGCCTGAGCGATTAGAATCCTCGACCGAGATGACACAGAGCTTTGAGCTTTTCAGTATCTACCTGGAGTCTCCTGCTAGCGCTGGTCTCCAGGGCGTTTGTAGGAGAGACTGGCCACCACCTTGTTTATAAACGTACACTATTGGCCCCTGGTCTCGTACTCCGAGGACCAGGCTTTGCAGAGCGAGGCGGGAGTGGGAGCGGGTGCAGGAGGTGTGCGGGCAGCCAGGGCCTCCCAGTGGCTTCAGGGTTCCCCGAGGCTCTGCCTCTAACCAGGACCACAGATCACAGCCCGAGTCGGTGGCGGCTGGGCGACGGCAGCGCCGCAGGGGGAGCTGGACGGGAAGCGCCTCTGGCCAGCGCTCCTTTTTTTTTCGGCTGCGCCCGCGGCTCTGTGCATGGGGGTCACAGCGGGACGCTGGGCCTGCTGCTGGCAGGGGCTCTCGGTCCCCCGTGGAGAAACCCGGTTCCTTCCGATTAGACGGGAGGTGGTGTCCTTGGCCGGAAAGACGTTCTCTGGGGCCCTCAGGACCTTCCACTCTCAGGACCGAGCCTGCCCTTCCCATGGGCGCGTTTTCCTGTCGGTGCAACCTAAGCACGTAGAAGTCCGAGAACAAGGAGGCCTTAGGCTGTAGTCCAACCCCCCGCCTCCTCCCTGGCCCGGCCACAGAGATGCCGTGTCTAACGTGGCTCATGACAAGCTGTGACCAAATGCCTGTGCGGACGCATGTGTCCCGCAAATGCCAAGCGATGCGTGCACAGGGAGGCGTGAGGCCGCTGTGTGATCACGCAGACTCAGCCTGTCCACACCCAGCCACCCGGCCTTGGGCTGTGATGGGGCCAGAAGATCTGGGCTCTAGCCCTGGTCCCCTTGATGGCTGGGTGAGTCGCTTCCTCTCTCCGAGCCTCTGTTTTCCCCTCTGCAGAATGGGAATAAGAGTCCTCACTCTGCCCACTCTGTGTGATGGGTCTGAGGCTGAGATGGAACAATGGGAGTGAAGACAGCATAGAGATGCAAGGGACACGTGTAGGCTCTCCCCAGCCTTCCTGAAGGAGAACCGCACTGGGAGAGGGGGAGGGGGAGGGGGAGGGGGAGGGGGAGGGGGAGGGGGAGGGGGAGGGGGAGGGGGAGGGGGAGGGGGAGGGGGAGGGGGAGGGGGAGGGGGAGGGGGAGGGGGAGGGCTACAGCTACAGCCAGCTGGGGACTTCCTTCCACAGGACCCCACTCAGGATCCCCATTCCGATCCCCATCCTGCTCGCTACGCAGGGCCTGCCCGGCCTCCCAGTCAGGCAACACCATCCAGGCCCCAGTCCTGGGCTGGACCCGCTTCCGCTTCCAGGGAATGGAGAGAAGACTGACGGGGTGTGGCCTGGGCCTGGTGGTCTCAGCCGTAGGCAGGGAAGCCGCCGATAGCTGGCCGATGCCGCTCACAGGCGCAGACTTGGTGCTGGGTCCTGAGGAGGGAGCGGTCACCAGTGGCCACTGATGGGCGGCGGGAGGGGCACGGAGTGCCTGTCTCAGGAGACGGGTGTTGGCCAGGCCAGAGAGAGCCAAAGAGGCCCCGAGGCTGCTGCCTCCTTCCGGGCAGAGGATGCCGGAGACACCGACAGTGCCTCCTCCTGCTCCCGGCCGGCAGCTCCTCGCAGCCCCCAGCTGGTCCCCAGAGCTCTGCTGCCTGCAGCCCGAGCAGAGGGCGATCTGTCCCTGGAGGAAGTAGAGTCCTCTGGGCTCCACCCTGTTCAGTGTGACCCGAGTCCCCGGTTCCTTCTGCCTCAGCCGTGGCCCCTGGGGCAGGACCCAGCGGCCTCCTGTCCCTCTCACCCTCCCTGGAGTTGCCCTGCACCAGGTGTGCCCATGTGGTCCCCGCTGTCAGCAAGACAACTCGAAGGGCGCATTGTATTGTATTGAAAGCATCTCAGAGCTGGAGGGTCTTAGAAGTTACCCCTTCAGCCCGACCCCGGGTGTGAACTGCCCTTGTCTCTCCCCATGGATGGGCGGCTCCCCCCTGCCCCACCCCCCGGGCTGAGACCCACCATGCCAGGGGCTCCTCGCCTCTGAGACGGCCATGCCGACCACGGCCATTCTTCCTCGGCGGCAGCCTCCCCTTCGGAAATTCCCGCCCGTGGACCTGGCTCTGCCCCCTTGAGCCGGACAGAGCAAGACCACCTCTGGCTCGTGGTGTAAGCCAGGCGCACTCCACTCAGCCCACAGCCCTTCAATCCCGGGCCGGGAGGGCACCGGCCCACCTCAGCTGCTCAGCAGGTCTCCAGCTCCCTCTGTCGGCTGGGCTCCTGGCCCACAGCTCTGCATGGAGCTGCCTCCGTGGCACCACTTCTGAGACTGGCCAGTGGGCTCCTGGGCCCCTTGCATAGAAACCTTCCCACTGCACCCCTCCAATCTGGGGGGGCCGGGAGTGGCAGGGGCAGAGGGGGCCTGGGAAGCTGGTTCTTTCCCTCGGCTCCTTTCCGTGCAGGTGGCTTCCTCCCACCTGTCCGTCACACATTCCTCTCCCCTCCCTGGTCTCTGTGTCCAGCCAGCGCCTTGGTGCGTCTGCGCAGACCGGTCACTGTCCATCCCTGAGCCTGAGGTGCCGGGTGCTGACTGGTCGGCAGTTACTAGCTACGCCCCTGAGCTGCGCTGTTTCCCTGTTCGCCGCGGCTCCCGGCTTTCCTCCGCATGGTGCGGGCTCCCTCCTGGGGTGCCCATCTTCAGGGGGTTTGCTCCCCTCTCACCCCACTGGAGCGGGGGCTTCTGAGGGTGTGGCCACTGCAGAGGGTGGGCCTGGAGCTGACACCCCTTCTCTGGACAGACGGACCCCCTCCCGGCGCTCCCCTGCTGGGAGGGCAAGCACTGGGCCTTTTCCCGATGGAGTCAGCCGCCCTTCCTGCCCTCTTTTTTCTTTTTTGGACCCTTCATTGGTGAAGACTCTGCTGGCCCCGAGAGAGCCCCCTCTTTCCCTCTGCTCCCCTTTCTTCCTCTTTTCTCTCTGCTCCCTCTACCTCCTTCCTCTTTCTGGGCCTTCAGACTTCCCCGTGTTTGCCCTCTGGCCTTCGGCCTCCTCTGCCCTCCCATGGTGCCAGGCTGTGGCTCAGGGTCCCGGCTGCTCCCCCCACTCTTCTGCTGCGGTTGACAACGCGTGTGGAGCTCAGCGTACTGCCCGAGGGGCCATGCCCCCCAGAGCCACGGGGGAATCTGTTTGCCTTCCCTGCAGGAACCTTCAGGCCCCGGGCAGGCCAGGTGCCCCACCCCCCTTGCTTCCTGGCCCCTGGCGTCTGGGCAGAGCCTGTTCCGGCAGGAGCCACTGGATGCCAGGATAGTGCTGCTAACAGCGCTGGGAGCTGCCCCCGGAGAGGCCAGGGACAGCCCATTTCCCGCTCCCAGCTCAGGACCCTCTTGCTCAGGGCCCTGGGCTCACGGCGGGGAGCTGAGGCTCAGGTTTGCCATTGCAGTGAGTCTCGGGCCAGCCTTCCTGCCTCCTGGTGCAGGACCGGCTGCAGCTCCTGGCCTTCGGGTCTGAGGGAGCGGCACAGGCGCTCAGGGCCCTGAGCCCCGACCTCACAGGACTAGTGCTCTGTTCCCCCTCAGGGCTGGCCCGCTGGCATGTTGTGGGTAATGTGTCCCAGGGTGTGTGTGTGTTGGTGGGGGGGGGCAGTGTGCTCTGGCCAGTGAGGCACTGGAAGCCTGGAGTTGGAGGATAGCAGCCCTGGGGCAGGGGCAGGGGCAGGGGACTTTGCTTGTGGTGCCTGCCTGCCCCTGACTTGCTGTGCCCTCAGAAGTCATATTTGGGGGCTTCAGTGTCCCCGTCTGTGAGGCCACGGCTCCTCCTAGGAAAACACGAACACCAGTTCCGCTTCAGGGTGAGGGGCCACTGGGCCCGGTGAGCCTGGCATCCTCCAGGTTAGGAAGGGAGAAGAAAGGTTCCTGTAGGGCTGGTGCCAGCCCCCTGGGACGTGGGGAGGCATATGGCCACGGGGAGGGGCCCTGGGGCAGACCCCTCCATTTGGCTCAGAGCCCAGAGGACCTGGGGAGTGACGCTTCACCGCCTGGGCTCTGAGCAGGGAGCCGTCCCAGGGCAGGGGTGCGGGGACGCTGGCCTGCCCCACGCTCCCCTCCCCAGATGAGGAGGTGTTGGGTTGGCCAGGCCCTCAGCCCCCAGCAATCCCGTGTACGCTGAGATCCCCAGGGTGCCGTCTCCCTCCGACAGGAGAGGCCTGGGCCTCCCACGAAGGGAGAGGCAAGCCCCCTTCCTGTCACCTGCCGGCCCTGCCTCCCAGCCCTGGGGAGGGTTGGAGCCCTCTTGGGGACAGGAGGTGCAGGGTCCACCTGAGGAAGGGGAGAGGGCACCTGGGCACGCGTGGTCCCCGGAAAGTGGCCCCGGGGAGAACCCCCGCCCGCAGACACCCCTCCCTGTGAAGGATGTAAAAAAAAAAAACTTGTTCTGCCTTTTTGTCTCCCCTCCCCCTCTGCCCGCCCCATGGCCCCCCCAGACTGCCTGCGCGTCGGCTGTGCACCCAGTAAGTGGCTTCCCTCTTCTGCAGAGTCCTGAGGGGCTTGGGATGCTGGCCCGGGTCTGGGGAGGGCCGGTGGGGGGAGGAGAGGCCTCATCACTGGCTTGTGTGGGGTTGGGCAGTGGGTGTGGGGAGGCAGGGGAGCGGGTGGATGGGGTAGCGTGGTTGTGGACAGCATGGGCCGAAGGAAGCCAAACCAGGGAGAGCTGGTGGGGGTCCGGGTCAGCATGCTCACTGGGCCGGGAGATGGAGGGCAGTAGACCTCGTCATCTCACGGCCTCAGGAGCGGGGGACAAAGTGTTGGTGGCCCCGCAGCGGGACGGCCCACCCCCCTTTCTGGGCAGGAAGGTGGAGAGAGCTCTGGGCCAGGATGTTCCGCTGCATCTCCAGCGGCGGCCACAAGGGGGAGCGCCAGGCACGCCGGAAAGAAGATGCGGCTTGAGGTCCGTGGAGGCAGCGTGGTCAGGGCCTCCAAACAGCCTCCCGGCTCCTGCGTGGGCAGGGCCGCCTTTCGGCCACACGGGGGCGCCCTCAGAGGTGGCAGCGAGGCTCCGGGCGGGGTGCGGTGGAGAGAGGGCATTTCTGAGCGCCCAGCGTGCCGGGCTCAGCGCTGTCTGTGGTTCCGCATGGTGCGCGGAGGTCGTGTAGGAGACACGGGAAGGTGGCAGGCCCAGGCAGAGGGGCTGTGTGAGCTGAGTCTGTGCGTCCGGTACCTGTGTGCATACCCGTGGTGACCCTGCTCCCTGCCTGCGTGAGCACTGGGGGGCCCAGGGGTGTGCTGGAAGGCTCAGCACCATTCTAAAGAGAAGTTTTTTCTCTTTAAAATCTTCACCCAAGCCGTAACCGGTTTGGCTCAGTGGATAGAGCGTCGGCCTGCGGATTCAAGGGTCCCAGGTTCGATTCCGGTCAAGGGCATGTACCTTGGTTGCGGGCACATCCCCAGTAGGGGGCGTGCAAGAGGCAGCTGATCGATGTTTCTCTCTCATCGATGTTTCTAACTCTCTATCCCTCTTCCTTCCTCTCTGTAAAAATCAATAAAATATATTTAAAAAAAAAATCTTCACCCAAGGATATTTCCCCCCATTCATTATTAGAGAGAGTGGAAGGGAGGGGGAGAGAGAGGGGCTTCGGATTGAACCTGCAACCCAGGTCTGCGCCCTTGACTGGGAATCGAACCCATGACCCTCCTGTGCGTGGGCCAGCACTCCAACCACTGAACAACACTGGCCAGGGCCAAAGATAAATCTTTTTGTTTTATTTATTTTTCTTCTTTAAATATATTTTTTTATTGATTTTAGAGAGAAAGGGTGATGGAGAGAGAGATAGAGATATCAATGATGAGAATCATTGACTGGCTGCCTCCTGCACCCCCCACACTGGGGATCAAGCCTGCAACCCAGGCAGATGCCCTGACCAAGACTCCAACTATGAACTCCTGGTTCATAGGTCGATGCTCAACCACGCTAGCCAGGGCCAAAGATAAATATTTTTGTTTTAGACTTGGAAGCAGATAATCCTGGCCTTGAACAAATGGTCATCATTCCTAAAAACATTCCCCTGTGGCCACGCTGAGTGAGCTGTGTGTGGGGTGACCAGTGTGTGCAGGAGGGTCACCCTGGGCCCTGTGTGCTGGGGGGCTGTGTGTCTGTGTGGAGGGCCCTCTGCCAGCAGGAAGCTGTGGGTGCCCCGTGAGGCTCTGTAGTTGGGAAGGTTGTAGGTCTACACATGTATGTGGGAAGTTAGCTGCTGGCTGCACACATGGACGTGGAAGGTCCTTAGGAGACGGGGAGGAGCATGTTGGTTGTAAGACATGAGAGTCTATGTGCAGAGCCCCAGGGCACAGCTGCACAGGCACGGGTCACGTCGATGCTCTTCGAATGGCACCTGGGATGTTGTACAGCGTGGCAGTGCCGAGTGTGTAAAAGCTCTGTTCACGTGAGTGTGTATATCTGCGTGCATGGCGTGTGGCACAGCCAACGATGTGCCGTAGGTTGTGTTTGAACTTGTGTGCACATGTCTGGGGCGGTGAGGCCGCGCCTGGGCTGTGCGTGTGGGTGGGAGGGTGCAGAGGCCACGCTCACTCCCCCCTTGGTGCCGCAGGTAAAGGCCCGGAGACCCTCTTTGCGGGGCACAAGCTCAATGACAATGAGTGGCACACGGTGAGGGTGGTGCGCCGTGGCAAGAGCCTGCAGCTGTCCGTGGACAACGTGACGGTGGAGGGTAGGTGGCCTGGGGCCAGGGGGGTGGACACATGGCTAGTGGCCTGTGCTCGGCTCCGTTCTGGGTGACCCCAGCCTCGGGCAGCATTCCATCAAGCTGCTGCTGGCATTTCTCCCTCGAGGGTGGTGTAAATGGGGGGCCTGGACCCCAGGACCACCCAACTCCCAATGGCCCCGCAGTCTGCGCCCCGAAGCCACCCCTCATCTCTGGCTCCTGTCCCGAGCAGGGCAGATGGCAGGGGCCCACACGCGGCTGGAGTTCTACAACATCGAGACGGGCATCATGACGGAGCGGCGCTTCATCTCGGTGGTGCCCTCCAACTTCATCGGGCACCTGAGCGGGCTGGTGTTCAACGGGCAGCCCTACATGGACCAGTGCAAAGACGGGGACATCACCTACTGCGAGCTCAACGCCCGCTTTGGCCTGCGTGCCATTGTGGCCGACCCCGTCACCTTCAAGAGCCGGAGCAGCTACCTGGCGCTCGCCACGCTCCAAGCCTACGCCTCCATGCACCTCTTCTTCCAGTTCAAGACCACGGCCCCCGACGGGCTGCTCCTGTTCAACTCGGGCAACGGCAACGACTTCATCGTCATCGAGCTGGTCAAGGGGTGAGGTGCTGGGCGCTGCACCGCTCTCCAGGGAGTGGTCCCTCTCCCCCAGGCCAGGATGTGGCCCCCCCCACCACTGGCTGAGATGTCTAATCCCCCCAAACCACAGGCCAAGATTCAAGTCCCCAAATACCAGCCACGATGGCAAAACAGCACCCCCTCCTTCTGCCCTGGTGACTCCCCAGTTACTTCCCTGCCAGGGGTGTCCTAGTCATTTGCTCTCCCTTCCCTGTCCTGGCCGCCCCCCCCCTCCCGCAGCCCTCTCTACAGGCAGAAGACAGGGCCAGTCCCGGGGGCCCCTTGTCTGGAGGACCCCAGCCTAGAGCCGCTGTCCCTGATCCCAGGGGACCCTGCTGCCTCCACGAACCTCTCCCCAACCAGCTCCTCTGTGGTCCTCTCTCCACGCTCCCCCCATGACCACAGTCCTCGTGCCATCAGGGTGGGTCCCTCCACTGTGGGGCCTCCCCCTCCCCCCTCCCTCCATGGCACAGAGGACCCCCGCCAGGTGTAGCTCCTCCCTCCCAGCCTTGCCCCCACCTTGACCCCGTGTCTCCTCCCTCCCGTGGGGCAGGTACATCCACTACGTGTTCGACCTGGGGAACGGCCCGTCCTTGATGAAGGGGAACTCGGACAAACCAGTCAACGACAACCAGTGGCACAACGTGGTGGTGTCCCGGGACCCCGGCAACGTGCACACGCTCAAGATCGACTCCCGCACCGTCACACAGCACTCCAACGGCGCCCGGAACCTCGATCTCAAAGGTGGGCCCGGCGCCTCTGCGCAAGGCCTGGCCCAGGCCAGACCCCCCCTTGGCCCCACAAGGTCCCCCCGCCCTGGCTGCTCTCCCACTAGCACGATTTCCCCTCCTCCCCTGCCCACGGCTCCCACCTCTCCCCTGTCTCCACCGTGGCCACCTCTCTGTTGGGGTCTGCTCACTGCGGGGCCGCCGTCTCCGCACCGAAAGCCTGTCCCAGGGTGCGTCTCCTGGGGAGCTCGGTGGCCTTACCCTACAGCTCGGAGTCGGTGGCCCGGGCCTTCCACAGACCTCCTGGTTTAACGAGCTTGAGAAGCCTGGGATGGGGGGCTGGAGAGAGGAGGGAGCTCAGCACCCTGCAGACGCCCCCCCT